TTTTTTTACTATCGATCTAATTAACGTTATTCAATTTTTTTATTCAGACTATGTGTACTTGGGAGCCGAGGCACAATCATGTCATTACGACAACATTTGAGAGGAAGGCATCCGCCAGACTGTCTGCCTGTCTAAAGAAAGTTCGGGATAGTGCTGAACATCCAAATTAGATGTTGCCTTATGTTTTTGATGAACTAGGTCTGTATTGGAACACAGACAAGTTTAAGTCAATATCAGGCCAAGCCAAAAAAGGCTAGAGGAAGTCTTAATGGTGGCTCGTTGCACACCAGAGGTGCAAAGTCCGTTGGAACAATTGCAAGAGAGATGGTAAATTCTAATTCAAACTTTTAAATAAATAATTAGTTGATTCATATATATCGTTATAAATTTCCATTTTTATTTATAGGAAAAAGAATTGGGACGCACTCCCATTGAACCGGAGGTTTTCAAGAAGACTCGTGTCAGGAAGAAAGAAAATGAGTCGGATCCGCATGTGTGGATGGAGGAAAGAGCCGAACGAACTTTTGTAAGTTATTTAATATGAATAATATATATTAATAGTGAATATATTTATGATATGTATATATATTGATGTCAATTTTTATATTTAATATGCAGAATGACTTTCATCAGTACGTCGCTGAGAATCTAGATAGTTCGGTCCAATTGACACCTGAACTGTCCACCCAGATTTGGAAAGAAAAAGTGGTAGGGGGGACACACAAGGATGGATGCTATGGTCTAGGATCTCGAAACGATGTAAGACAACTCCAGTCAGGCTTAGAAGGTATTTGATTGTCACGTCAAGTCGAGGCACTTGACGGTGTACAGATTACTGCTATGTCGGCTCAAATAGCACAACTTACATCGGCACTGGAAGAGTCGGAGCGGAGAAGAGTAGCTGAACAACAAAGCATGAGCAGGACCATTCAGTAAATCAAAGCACAAGTGATGAACCTTGCTCATCGACCTACTACTTCGGCTCCTGAGGAAACCGACGACGACACTACTGATGATGAAGATGATTGTGTAGAACCCACTCCCTAGTTTAGATCTTTGGACATTTATGAATTTTTTGAAATTTTGGAACAAATTTTGAACCAAATTTTGAAAGACTTTATAAGTCTTTAAATTTTGATTTAAATACTTTTGAATGTTATTTTAAGTTTCTTGTTTTATGTATATTGTTTATAATTGTGTGTGTTTGATTGGACTGAATAGTATATAATTGAATTGAATTGAATTTGCAGGTGGGCAGATGCTATCAAAATAATTGCAAAAAAGCGACGGACAACGTGGTTTTGTCCATCGCTTTTCTGGGTTTTAACTTTTTTTAAAACCCAGAATTGCGACGGACAGCATGGTTCTGTCTGTCACTTTTCTGGATTTTCCAAAAAATAAATTCCATAAAAGCGACGAACAGGGTCCTTTTGTTCGTTGCTTTTTTGGGATTTTCAAAAATAAGATTTCCACAAAAGCGACGGACTGCGTCTCCTTTTGCAAATTAAAAAAATGAAAATGAAAATTGAGCGACGGAGTCCATCGCTTTTGTTAAAAAAAATTCAAAAAAAATAAAGTCAAACAGTGACGCAGTCCGTCGCTTTTGGAAAGGGGTCGAGCCAAAAAGCGACGGAAGTGATTGCGTCGCGTTTTCGTCGCTTTTGGCCAAAAAAGCGACGGACTGCGTCACTTTTATCCGTCTCTTTTTGGAAGTTTTTTAGTAGTGTAATATCATAAAATAATCAGGAAAATATTAAATGTTGAAATAAAATTAAGACCTCGATCCACTTAGTCATCATTCCTGCTACAAGTAGCCTTACCTTGGAAGTCAGATGCTCTATTCACAAGTCACCCCTCCTTCTTCTACTGCTCACTCCACCACCTAGGTCATTCCACCCTCATACAAGAGCATAACATAAATCTTTTATCATGTAAGGATTTCCCAAATACGAAGCCTCTACTTACTATATATGTCAACCGATATAATACTCTCCCTCAAGCTCCCATGCCAATACATTGGCCCTAACAATGCTCCAATTATACAAAATATGAATAGGTAATCACAATTTAGAAAAGCACATATATACAATTTTAATCCCAATTATAAGATGGCTCGGACTCCCAGCCCTCACCTAGACTCAACATTCGCATGAAACATGTCCCACGTGATCACATGCATCTCAACCAGTCATACCTAATTCATCACACACTTCCAGTAACTCAAACCACCAAAGATCCTGAATTATCATCTACAATGTTTAACATACAATTCCGGTCTATACAAGAATCATTCCAACATTTAAACACATTCTCAAACACTCATAGACCAACAGGTAACAACCACAGTACAAAGAAGTAAATTTGGTTTTCTCATGAAACCCACACATAAATTATTAGCGTATCAGCATGGTATCCGAGCCAATCATTAATTGTTAATGTACTGGCGTGGTATCCGAGCCAACCATATGATATCTCATACCATGTGTGGTACTCGAGCTAACCGTTAGTAAACCTGTACCAGCGTAGTACACGAACCAACCAACAATCACATGCAACATGCAGAATCACAATGAACAACCACACTAGCTAGAAGCCACAAGTAAATTAAACAAGTTCGTTGCATGAGATTATCAACATGATGTTATTTCACATTTATCCCTTATCATTTTCCCACATGCATTGCATAAGTAATACTATAAAGCAGTTAACATGCACACATCACGTAACTTGGAAAACAACAACCATCACCTATCCGAAGGATTTCTTCTCGAATATTTCCTCATCAAAATACGATCATCCACAATTACCATCCCTAGGATAACACCCAATAGACACCATAAGTCTAACATCACTAAGCAAATACCATCATCTGTCTAAATCGCAACTAACCACAATTTCAACCATCTAGACTCTATGACAAAAGGCCTAAGCATGAAGTCTCCTAAAAATCTACAAGATATTATATAAATAAAGATAGGTCTAACTACTTGATTAAGAAAACCTTAGCCTACCTGGGTGGCAAACAACTGTTGAAGAGCTTTGAACCCAACCTTCTAGCTCCGCAGGTTGATTCCTGGCAAATGTAGACCAGAATTTCATGGGTGTTGACCCCCTTCACGCTAAAATTTCTCCCCTCCATTATTCTCCAACAACGACATTTCAGGGTTCTTAAAATATCCCTAATCTATTTTTACATCGAAAGAAGAGAGGTCAAATAGAAGAATTCACATTTCCCGAGTTCTAGTCTACTATAATGGATAACCTACCTCCATAGGTTAAATAACCCCGCTATGGTGGGATGATGTCAATTTGACTCAAATTTTAAATTTGAATTTTTTTTGTGTATCCCAATTTAAAATGGGCGACATATTTCAAAATATTTTGAAACTCCGCATGAGATGTCTTTGAATAATGACGGACTAGATTGTTACACCATCACCCTGGACGTGATCGACACATGATGTCATTATTGGCCCGAGTGTACCTATAACATGATATTAGACATGATCATACCTATGAACAAAAATAAATTTAAAAGTATTTGGAAAGACAAGTCTTGTAAAAGAAATATTTTGCATAAAACATAAGTTATAGAATTTAAATCATTATTTAAGTTTAACTTTGTTTTTTTTACTTAAAAGCTACTTTGTTTTAAGTCAATCCAAACGAGCTCTCTAAGTTCAAAGATGACCTGCTATTTGAAGGCATAAAACGAGCAAATTTTAGGAATAACAAAGATAAAAATCATATTAGCGCTCTATAGCTACAGTTTTACTATTTGTGTTCCATAGCCAAATTATGTTTGCTATGGAGCATCTGATTTATATAAATCACGGCGATTTGTATAAATCGAACGTCCGTGTCTATGAAAATTGTATTTGTATATGTATATGTTCTTTGTGTTAGGCTGGAGTGACGAACGAGATTAGGGGAGAGGCGAGCGAGAGAGGGCATATAGTGGAGAGATGTGAATTGTATATGTATATCAGTTATATAATTGTATATATAAATATATAACTACTATGTATATGTATCAATAATTTTGTTTGTATATCTGCATAAAATTTGAATTCATATACGATTGAATTGAGTTAATATACAATTGAATCGAGTTAAAACATTTGTATTTGTGTATCAATTCTCTCTCTCGCTTTATACAAACAAAAATTATACATTGTATTTGTAGAAAGCGAGAGAGAGAAATGCAAAAGAGAACTGGGCAGAAAAATATTTGTATTTGTATAATTATAAGTGTATAGGACAGAGATATATGTATTTATATTTGTATATACAATCTCTCTCGCTTTATACAAACAAAAACACAATTTATACATTTATGTTTGTATAAAGTGAGAGAAGTGAGGGAGAGAATGGAGAGTGGCAAGCGAGATTCCAAAGAGAGGGGAGAGAGGCGAATGACAAAAAGTTTACTGCGAATTGAAATTAAATGAAGTTGTAAATATATCATTTATTTTGAATTAATAGTTTGGTCCCTTGAAAAAACTTGTAATTTTACACGCCTATGATTTGACAATCTATGAAAGCCAACATGTTTGAATTGACCCTATAGGCTATAACTATAAAAAAAAAAAAATATATATATATATACTATACATTTCTTATATATAACATGGTATTATGCCTTTAAAGACATCAATCACATAGAAGCAGTTTTTATCAACAAATATAACCAATAGAATTCTTTTCATTATTTACCCAAAAAAAAAACACAAAAATTATGAATACACATGAAGAGTACATTCATATCTCACAAAACTCAAAACTGCATTGGGAGACTAAACTGGCTTATCCTCCAAAGGCAAAACAAAACAGGTTTTCCCTATAATATCTACAAGAAAGCATCAGTAATGAAAATTAAATCAGCAATTGGTATATGCAACAGAGAAATTGACAAATATGTACTCATTGAATCAATATCCACAACACAGAACGAACCTTTGCCCCGTCAGGAAACCGTTGTTCTCCGAGAACCACAGCTTCAAGCTGGTGATATACCATGAATAGTGAACAAACATTACCAAAAACAAGTAAACTTGGATTCTACTCATACCAATGGGAAAGCCAAGGATGATCTAGGGCCTCTTTGGCCGTAAAGCGTTTTTGAGGATTTATCTCAAGCAACTTTCTTACAAAATCAAGGAACAATGGATCAGAAACTGACAGCTGATGCTCCAATGACATTTCCTCGGGGATGATGTATTCCAGTAGACTAGTATCCTAATACAGAATTCCAAACATAAATCAGACGTTGGACAATTGTATTATTCTATATTTTATTCATATATATATTAAGTTGCTAAATTCAGAGAAAGAAAATGGAGCAAAGAGAATAAGAGATGAAAGCATGGAAAGACTAAACATCCACGTGAATACCAGCACAACAATTGCTACATTTGTTAATAATAGATTCTTGAAAGAATTAAAAGGATGAACTAAGAGGCAAACCTCATTTATATGATAAAGGTCATAATCCTTTGTGAAATATTTTTGTGTCTCTTGTCCCCTTTCTAACATGTCCATGTCTACAGGACCAAGCATTCCGATCACACGTGCAAGCAACATAACAACTGCTTCATTTGGAAAAAGCACCTACCAAACAATACAAATGTTTAGAGTGTTTGCGTATAGTTCCTGCAAAACATATGCCAATGAATCCTCTCAAGGAAAAGTAGGAGCATACCTCTCCAGAGCACAGCTCTCCCAAGATGCAGCCAAGAGACCAAAGATCAATTTTCGCATCATAAGGGAGGCCTAAGATGACTTCAGGAGCTCTATAGGAACGAGACTGTACATATAAGGACAAGCTGTCTGACTGAAAGCAACTGCTTCCAAGATCAATAACTTTTATCTCACATCTTCGATAACTTTTGATGAGAATATTTTCAGGCTTCAGATCACAGTGGATGATCCCCAAATTATGCAAAAACACTAGTGCCTCCAAGCACTGTCGAGTTATGGTCTGTTAAGGAACAAATAACCAACACAATTATATTTTTTGGTTTCGGTGCCAATTTTAATTTACTAGAACAAACAGACCTGCAGCCTGCTCATTGTAAAATAATGCTCTAGATCAGATTCTCGGTTGTATTTCTGAAATTCATATAAATTTGCACGGAGAAGTTCACAAACGATAAAGAGGTGTTCCTGCATGTTATAAAAACAAAAAAAAAAGAGTACAGTTAATAGATATGGAGCATCAGATTCCAATCAATATCTTTTATATACCAGACTTGAGCAACAACAGAAGTTTCAAAACCAAAAACACTACAAGAGATTAAGTAATAATTGATAAGATACGAATGATGTATAAGCTAGATGTGATTCAAGAAACTGGTATTGCAAACTATCTATGGCGTTTCAACATTTTTGTCCTAAGGTTATAAATAAAAGAACAATACTATATGACTGAGACCTTATGATTCTAAGTCCCAACATACCCACAAAAGATGACTGCAGTAGAAAATGTGAATGTTAGAGATGGATATGCGGTCATGCATAATTGAACAAGCCTAGAAATGATCATTTCTAATGGAGAGTTTAATAACACACTTGAGGGATAAAAAGAAAGAAGGTTGTGTGAAGTGGTCTGGCCATAGCCCATGACCACGTAGACCTTCAGATGTTGCAATGGACGAAGGTGTGAAAATATGATGATTAAAGATGATAAAATAAACGAGATCAGCCTAAAATCACATGAAGGGAAGTTGATTCTAAAAGACCTAAGATCTTTGGACCAATGTACATTTATTAGTGGAAGCAGAGGATTCATAAGCACGATGCAGACTTAACTAGTTCAGATCAAACTAGTTAAGGATAAGTATGATATAAGAGAACACCTAGTTCATCATAAAAGTCAAATCAGTTAGTATCAGAATGAACACGACCTAAAAAGAGAGGGAAGCATATAGAGGATTCAATATTCATGTAACTGACTTGGGGTTGAGGCATAGTTAATTGATGAATGAAGGTACTAAAGTGAGACATAATCTCTGGAGAAGTGTCGAAGAACAGACCAGTTGTGGTGTAACTAATGTAACAGTTTTCTAGTTAACGCAGGAACTTATCATTTCAATTCAAAAAATATCAAATAATTTCTAAGTCCCACTAAAATTTGGAACTTATTGTGTTTGGAGTTATATTATTCTTCATTGAACCATAGTGGTACCCCGTACCAGGATCAGGGCTCAACCAAGTACAATGTTTGATCTTCAAGTCTTCTCCCATGTATTGTGGGAACGGGACCAATGCCCTTGCTAAGTTTATAGCTTGCAAATTCAGCCATCATATATCCAATCTTGATTAAATCAAAGTTCAGTGTTTATATCCTACCAGTGTTTGCAGTTTTAGCCTTATAACACACACACACACACACACACACACACAGATTGATAATATCTTTAATCACATTAAACTTTCAATCTCCAGTAATTAACACTTTTGACCTTAAGAGGATAGCATGAGAAGATTACATGGATTGAGTTCCAGAGGATACTTTACATACCAGCAAGTACCCGAGGAGGTCCAAGCTAAACACCAAACAGACATTATACTTACTTTAAAAGAATAAGGACAATCATTAACTATCATTTCGTAGCCAGTGAGTTTGAGTTGAAATTTTGAGATGGCTATTAGTACTAACAACATAAATTCCATGATGGCAAGAGCTCTCTCGAGACAACTATGCTCGTAAATCTTCCACCAAAATCTCTACTTGATGTTTAGATTGGTCGATAACTTTATAGTTGTCCTTTCTATGCACATCTCCCTTATATCAAAAAGAAGAAAAATGGTAACTTCTGAATGCTTCTTGTCTTGTTCATTTAGAGGTTGGATGATTAACTTTTAGTTCTTTATAAGCCTTGATTCAAATCAAAGGACTCGGAAGAACATGCGTTTTCTCAAGCATACCTGATGGTAGAAGTAATCATATAAGCGCAGTATATGGTGCTCGTCACAAGGATCATTCTTGTTCACAAACTTGAGAAGCTTAATCTCATCCAAACTCTGATCAAAGAAGTCCTTGTCATTCTTTATTATCTTCAAGCAAACGTCTACTCCAGTGTGCATATCATGAGCCTGAATGACTTTGCTGAATGCAGCTGAACCAAGGTATTCTGTTACATAGTATCTACCGGCGATAATACTATTTAGAACAATAGGCAGGTCTTTACTCTCCTCAAACCCAGTCCTGTGGATGGCATAACAAATGAGTACATCTGTTTTCTACAAATGAACAGGCAAGAAACAAGCTCAATATTTCCATTAAATGTTAGAACAACTTTAGTGCCCAGCGGAAATGATGGAATGAGATGTTGATTTGATATGCAAGTCGAATAATCAAACATTGCTCAATCCATATAAATACGCATATTTTGTTTTCACTCACTCATCGATATTGGACTTGAGCTTTGGAGGTATTGATATGAAAACAAACCTGTTTTTTCCTGTGTATAATTCTCAGATTAAATACTTCAAACTCATTTTCTCCTTCAAACATCAAAAGCTCATCTGAAGTAGCACCTCCCTCATCATCTGCTGCCTCATCGGGTTCATTGCCTTCCAAAGCTTCCAGTCTATCATCTTTTGGTTCATAGTCTCTATGCACATATGAGTGGTAATCTTTCTCAATAGCCTTAGGTTGAAGGTCACGGGTACCTTTGATATCTCCAACCCAGTCAGTATTGCAACTTGTTTCAATGAAATAGTTAGTTTTCGTCTCTCCAGTTGGTTCATACTGAAAATAGTTAGTCCCTGTTAAGTTGATATCGATATCTTCACCATAAATCCCTTTTGGCCCCTTGCAGCAAGCACAAAGTGGGGATGAACAGCTAAATTGACCTTTCCCTTCAAGATGCTTTTGTTTATCCAAATGATAATAATAATCTTTCAACCCTTCATCTATAGGTGATTTACACTCCCAATTGGCGGCACTGTGTCTCTCGGACATAACAAACTTGTCCTCACTAGGATCCCCCACACCATCTGAGTTCCCAAAGTAAGGTGGCATGGGAAAATCTTCATCTTTCTCCCGATACCAGAAGAGGTCATTTTGCATATCAAAATCATGATAATCTCTTGCAGTACCAAATTGAGATAATCTATCAGATGATGATTGAGAAGTGGGAGCAGCCGTAGTATGAATTCCATATGGATTTGTAAATTCTGCACCAGAGACAACACAATAAACCTAAAAAAAAAGAAAAAAAATATGCACAACAAACAAAAACAAAAGGGAAGCATGACACAATATGATCAGTTGTTGAATTGAGTAGCAGCAAAATCTTAAAATCCTTAGGCAAGAGCAATAACTAGTAGAAAATAAGGAATAAATACATCAATTGTAGTAATAACCTCTAAATTGGGTAAAGAGTTACCAGAGGAGCAGAAATCGGTAGCAGAAGAAGGCAAGCTAACAAATTCTTCGTCAGAAGAAGAAACAGAGTTCTTATTAGAAATGAGGTTAAGAGGAGGAAGTGGAGGAATAACAGGGAATAAGAATGTTTCATAATCCAAAGAAGCCAATTCAGATTTCTCCATAATATCTTCCATAAGAGCTGATTCAGATTCTGAGAAGCCATTATTCTTCAAGAATTCAAGTACTTGTTTAATTTCAGAAACAGAAGCCATAGTAGAAGAAGAAAAAAGTCTACTAGTGGAAAAGAGGTGGGTTCATGAGAATGGAGTGAAAGAGGGTCAAAAGTGGCAATTCTGAGTTGGATTTTGCATGTTATTATTATTATTATTATTATTATTATGTTATAACAAAGAGAGTTATGACTTTCTGCTTTTTTCTTTTTTCTTTGTCTGCTGTAAAACTCAAGCTAACGGCACCATAAGGAAAACAAAGATATCTTACCAACTTTGACAATTATAAGGTAGTTGTTACAAACAACTGGGGTCCACACAGTGAAAAAACATTTCTCCCTGTCTTTTTTTTTCTTTCTTTCTTTCTTTCCATTTGTGGTTTAAATTTTCTACTCAAAATAATAGTCTTTCGAATTGGAGAAGAGAAGCTAACACTTATTTTTTAGTGATGAAAAAGGTTTACATGGTCTGCTCCCCTTCCCGTCCTTTTGAAATCAGTGAAAAGGAATAGGCAAACTTTTCACAAAAGTAAAATTTCCTCTTAAGAAATACTAAGGGTGAGACGGTCCGGCCCTACGGGGTAACCCAGTCCCAGGGTACCCATGCAATGGGGAGGATAAGGGATATTCGGGACACCGAATGACACGGGACCGCAGACTGTCTGACTGTCCCTGTACGGTTTGGTCCGACTCCGACCCACTTGAACCGATTAGTCCTGATTTTTTTTTTCTTTATCTTTTTAAATAAAACTAGATGTTGGGGACCGTTGGTCAACCGGATAGACCCCCCCCCCCCCCCCCCACCCAAACTCTATTAACCCTTTAAATTTTTATTTTAATCCTGAAGTTTCATAAAATATATTTTAATCCATTTTTACATTATAAATATCCTTTTATCCCTCACTATTTCTCACAAATTCTCTCAGTCTACTTGAGTTGGAGAAGACAAGATAGCACTTATTTATTTTAGTGATGGCAAATTTTTCACTAAAGTAAAATTTCTTCTTAGGAAATACCATGAAATGCTATTTTCTTTCTCATGCAAAATCCTAGGCCTACTTACATTTGAACCTTTGTCATAATCACTCTGGACATTTGACAACCTCTTTCAATGGTTGGTCAGTTCATTTTGACCTCGACTGAGCAATTTATAACCCTTTATCACCTAGAAAAATATGTGTTTATCACTCTCAAACAATTGCTAACTCTAACAATCATTGAGAACAAGAGGATATCCAAATTTCGCAAGCCAATGAGCCTACAAAACAAAATATGATTCCTACGATAGTGTCAAATAGATGTGTAGTGAATCGTCTATCTCATCAAAGAAGTAACCCTTATTAATTGTGAGCTAATAATAAGGTTGATGAAGGTAGAGGTGTTACAAATGGATGTGATTGAGAAATTGAACTATGCCATCATAGAAAACATTTCTTATAGTGGCCATCTCTCGAGGAATTACGAAGGATCATTTCTCTTCAATATGGAACAAAATGTGATTGTAAAATGATTTTTTCTGCAGTGGGCATGTGTTGAGTAGGTGTGCAATTAAGGAGGATCTTACTAACATCATGTCAATGGTTTTGCATTATCTGAAATCAAAGGATAAATGGTCATATTTGATAGACAAGGTTTCATATTTATGATTCCAAGTTTAAGATTGATGGAGAAACTACCAAGACACTTGCATGGATTTCTTTACCAAATTTACTATCAATTTTTTTCCTTTTTTACAAAGGTAGCTCTCTTCTCATTGGTCTTAGCTATTGGGAAACCTCTTAACTAAATATGATATGGTGAAAAAAAATCAACTTGGTTGTGCGAGGGGTGAAGGTACATGTGGATTTTATTATTTCTAATTTTCTCATGCAATTCAAGCTAAATAGTTTAGACGAGAGTACTTGGACAATAGGGATTGAGAAAGTAAGAATTCAATATGCTTTTCTTCCATGAGCTTTGGTAGGTGGTAGAGTGGTGGGTAATCCAAACAGTTGGAACAATGTCAAAAATGCCAAAGGAGTAAACAACAAAGAGGTCAATAAAAAAAGTAATGAGAAAAAAATGGTGATAGATACTAACAACAAATTTGAGGCTTTATAAAAAAAGAAGAAGATAAAATATAGGATCAAAAGATTAGAGGAAACTACTTGAAAGCAAAAGGGGATTGACTATGATAAACTAGTATTAGCAGTTAACAATGAAGAAAAACATATAAAGAAAGGCAAAATACTAATTAGATATCAAAGGCTTTTGAAAACAAATAAGGAGAGACTTCTTCCATGCAACCAGACACAAAGCCCTAAGGTGAGCGAGTAGAAGAAGAAAAAATTTTAGATACTAAAGAGGGAGATTTTAGTGATATTAGAGCAAAAACAGATAGTGAAACTCGTAAAGAAGAGGAAGAAGGTTTAATGTAAAGAAATATAGCAGGTGATGTCAAAAATTAGGAAGAAATTGTAGCCAAGAGATCAAAGACGAAAAAAATAGGAAGATAAACACTTATCCTCCAAGATCTTTAGATTATGATGGTGAAAGGGAACATGAAAGCGTCAAGGAAAGGTATTTTACTGCTCAGGAAAAATATTCAAGAAGAATTATCAATTTTTGAGATGAAAACAATATTACAATTGTTGATGAGACTGAATAAGGGAACATTACAAGTGTGAATTAACAATTCATACTGATTTATAAAGTAAAAGTAGAATATGATAGTGAAGGAAGAAACAAGGAAAAATAATAAATATAAGTGGACAATGAACTATTGTATGATGACAAGGATAGAACAAAATGTTTCAACTATTATAAAGGTAAGGAAGACAAATAAAAAGAAGGATTTAGAAATTACTATAGTTAATAAGAAAGTACTAAAGTTGTAGTTATGGTTAAAAAAAGGTCAATTCTATGACATTATTACAAACATTGTCTCTAGTACCATATTGAAAAGGGACCACCGGATACCCACTTATTGAAGAAAGAAAATCAGAAGGAGATAGGTTATATGAAGAATCACAACATTAGAACTTATAGCAAGTTGAAAAACATGTAAATATTTCTCCAAGATCAATGAATAAAGGGGAAAAAGGGCGAAGAAGCAGCGCATCACCGAAGTGTGAAAATCCACCAATGTTTTTCCAAAGAGGGTAATTAATAAAATAATATTAAACAATGATTAAAACTTTTATCTGAAATATTAGTTATGTTAAGATACAACAAGCCTTTTTGTAACACCTCAGATTCTGAATGGAAAGAATTTGCAACTTTTAAAAGAATTTGGTGCCAGTCCGACGAAGCCACCCACGGACCATGGTCTGACACACTAATGTAGGTCTGGTCCGTGGATGGCCAGTCAAGTTTTCAAATATGTCAAGTTTTATGTATTTTTCAACGGTTTACCAGGACGGTCCGTTGTGCCATGCACGAGCCGTAGGTAGGTTTCGTAGGTGAGACCTACGGTCATGGCCCATGGTCCGTCGATGGACCCACGAGCCGTAGGTACCGTCCGTCATTGAGAGCCATAATTAAGAGTCTCTGATATCAACCACGACTGACCGGGACGGTCCGTGGTCTGACCAATGGACCGTCGGTCCAGCCGTTTGTGAGGTCCGCAGTTATTTTCTTAGGGATTTTTGGGTCTTTTCCTAATTATTCTAGACTAATACTATGTAATTTTACCCTTCACCTAAAGCCCTATGTAAGTGTTTTAACCCCCCCCCCCCCAAATATCCCCAATTGAAATCATTCTCTCAAATTCTTAAAAGAAGAACAAATCCTCCTCTCAAATATTTCTCTCTCTAGTAGTTAAAGAAGAAAGCTAGGGTTTGCAAGTCAAGTCTCCAATTCCACCATTGAAGTCAAGCTTTTGACATTGAGGTATGATAGTTTTTATCCATGGAGCCCTTTCCTCCATGGAGTTCCCAAATTCTCTAATTTACAAAGTTAGAAATCCCTAATTGAGTTAGGGTTTTTCCTCCATGTCATGGGTTCCTTAAAATATTGATTTATTTGATTGTTTTATGATCTATCAAGCATGAATTGAGATAATTAAATGATTTTAGGATGAATTCCCATGAACCCATGTCTAACTTATGTTTTCTAGAATTATGAATGTTCTTATGGAATTGATGAGATATGATGTAGATTACTTTGAGAGTAAAAGCATATATGTTGTTGTTGTGGTTAATTGTTGTGAAGGAATTGCTCACATAACTACCTCATGCATAAATGTGAGAGGTTTTCTTACATAAGGGATTCTAAGGTTGAAATGTCTTCTCACCTAAAATGAATCAAAGATAAGGAGATATTCTAAGAATGATGTAAGCGGCGATTACCCATGACCTCTAAATGAAAGACAAGAGGCGATTACCTATGTTTTATGATGTAAGGACAAGAGGGGATTACCCAAGTTCCTTAAAGAAAATATGAATAAGAATAATAGATATTCCATGGGAGTTATGCTTAGCACCGGGTGGACAAATGTCGATTACCCACGTCCCATAAATGATGTGCCAACATAGGATTGTCTAGATAGACATTAGCTAGTGGATCCACATAAGCTAGAAAGTTCATGGTCTTATCTTGGCAAGTAGGACACACCTTTTCGGTGTGAGATACACCGGATTCCATGTTAGTAGCTCACATGGTCTTACATGTCGGTTAAAGGTAATTCTCCCACATTAATGAATCAAGCTTACTTCAAGAAGTATGTCACATGTCTTTAAGATGATGTTTATTTGCATTGACCATGTTTTATGACTATCATCTTCTACTTACATTCATGATTTAGCTTGGTCATTGCACTTTATGAAAATGTCTCTTTTCTCATGTTTTCAAATGTTTTATGCATGACTATCATACTTGGTACATATTTTACTAACACATACTCTTGCCTACATTTCCCCAAATGTAAGGACCGACCTTATAGATTTGCACTTCCATGGCTAGGATCTCATTTAGAAGATTGAAGTTTGGTGAGTCCTCATATTTCGAGGACTGAC